CCTCCGACCCTGAAGACCTTCAACAGGGATTACAGGCTGTGGCTGAGTGGCTCAGGCTGAGCCGGTTGAAACTAAACCCAGCGAAGACGGAGGTCCTGGGCCTGAGTCGGAACGGGATGGGGTTAGGGCTCCCTCTCCCGACCTTCGATGGGGTGCCTTTGGTGCCTGCGTCGGAGGTTAGGAGTTTGGGAGTGCTCCTGGACTCCTCCTTGACAATGGAGGCCCAGGTAGCAGCCACTGCCAGGTCTGCTTTTTACCATCTGAGGCAGGCTTGGCAGTTGGCCCCTTTCCTCGACCGTGAAGATTTGACTACAGTGATCCATGCGACGGTCACCTCAAGGCTAGACTACTGTAACGCTCTCTACATGGGGCTGTCCTTGTCACAAATTCGGAAGCTGCGGCTAAGAATGCCGCGGCCAGGCTGTTGATGGGTCTTCCCAGATGGGAACACATACAGCCTGTGCTGAAAGCACTGCACTGGCTGCCAATAGCATACCGAATTTGCTTCAAGGTGCTGGTGCTTACCTTTAAAGCCCTATATGGCCAGGGTCCAACATACCTGCGGGACTGCCTTTCCCCATATATACCCCAAAGAGCACTGAGGTTGGGGTCCCAGAACCAACTGGCCCTACTGGGCCCCAAGGATGCCAGGCTCGCCACTACTAGGGCCAGGGCCTTTTCGGTGGCGGCTCCGCACTGGTGGAATGAGCTCCCAGAGGAGATTAGGGCCCTGCGGGATCTTATGCAGTTCCACAGGGCCTGCAAGATGGAGCTCTTCCACCAGGCTTTCAATAGGAGCGGCCGCCCCAAACCACCAACGAGCCGGCCCGTAGTACTAACATCTGGCCACTACCACTGTGCTCCGGAAGATCATTGAGCGAGACTGTCTGGTCGTATGGTAATATCAGCACGCCATCTTATGCATTCACTCTATTAGCACTAGCACTTTATGAGGTTTTGTTTTATCTTATTGTTTTGAATTTTAAATTGTTTTTATGTGAATGTACGGTCACCTATAGACCAATTATGTAAGCCGCCCTGAGCCCACTTGCGGGGTAGGGCGGGGTATAAATGTAATAAATAATAATAAAATAATAATAATGTTGAGAGAGATTGTAGCATAGTGACTAAGGCCAGAAGTTCAAGTTATGGCTGTCACACAGGCACCAGTGAAAACAGCACCTTGTATGGGGCCCCCTCTCTTTACTCCCCTGTAAAATTTAGTAATGAAGTGATGCCATCCTGCTACATGTTTCTATATGTTACTCTACTTCATTAACTGAGAGATGATGGGGAAATGACACCTTTCATAAATGGAGTGGCAGATATTGATCAGTATTTAAATGTTGAAAGTGTCCCTCATGTATGAAACTGTGAATTCAAGATAAGAGGTCAGGAAGCCCTTTCTGGATCCATGAGTCTCTGACACAATTTATCTATTTATATTATTTAGATAATTATACCCAACTTTTCACCCCAATGGAGACCTAAAACATTTTTCAACATTATTCTTTTCTCCTCCATTTTACTCTCACAACAACAACCCTGAGTGCCCAGCCCAAAGTTACCCAACAAGCTTTCATAACCGAGGGGGGATTCTGATACATGTCTCCAATATTCTGCCAATCTAACTGCTACACTATGCACCACCAAGATAGCTTATGGAAAGCAATTGTTATACATTCTACAATTTTACTGGATAATTTTGGTGCAAGCCAAAAAATACATCCAATTGCTTTCCAGTAAATTTTCTGAATGCTGCCCGCCAATCTCTGTAGCTAAAATATTGATAGCCCAATCTGTGCAGAATTACTGCAGTCTAAGCCCTCTGATTTCAATGGCTTTACACTGGAGTAATATCCACAGGATTGCCCTGCCAGAGCACTAAGAAGTCACAAAACAATTGTGAAGAAGAAAAAAGGCAGAAGAGGAAGAAAGAGGAGAGTCAAACTGGTTTTAATCTGATAGTGATAGGAGCAACATTTAAGTGAAGAACAAATGGCACAGCATGGGAAAAGCACAAAAATAAGCAAAAGGTCTACATGGTATCAGTACTGATGTACAGAAAATCAAGAGGATGGTAGAATGAATAGATGAAGAAAATCAAGCAGAAGTAATTTAGGTAAACAGCAAGGGAAAATATATTTATATATACAAACATAGTTGCATATACAAGAATTAAACTAAAATAATATATCTTTTTAACACAGGTTGAGTATAATAGTTTGTTTTTTAAGTGCTGGTACTTACTGATCAGTGCATTCAGTCAAGCTCCCAGCAGTAAGTGGGCCACTCCCTACCCCCCAGATGTTGGCGAGTTCCTCCCTTCCCTCTCTCTATCCGCCCATCAGTGGCCTGCTCCCTACCCCTGGTCTATCTGTCACCCAAAGGCAGGATCTGCAGGAGCTGGGCCTATTGCTCACAAATGGCTTAGCCCATCCTTTCCCAGGCCATTCATCCCCATGTCGTCCTCGCTAATGATGTCAGTGGGTGCAATGGGATAATAGATTGTTTGCCATGGGCAGGTGCAGACCTCAAGCCCATCTGCCACCTGTCTCCTTGGGCCTCTGGACTGAAGCCCTGATTTCCATGACCTCTGCTGGTCCAAAAGGTGCCAGTGGGTACTGGTGGATATTGGCGGGGTGCGGGGGGGGGAGCTCTAACTGTCTCCAAATGAATACTGTGGACACATTTATTTGAAGTTTAGTGAATTCTTAGGGATACAGAAAATTTATGTAGATAAAGAGGTCCCCAGCTTGCAAGTATCCCTGATAATATTGATGGGGCCAGTAAACTTTTATATGCTTTTTTAAATTCACACTCAGATTTCTCAGAAATTCAGGGCAAAGTGATCAAGAGGACAGCCATTTTCTTTTGTCTGGGTAGCTGTCATTCAAAGGTATGCTGAATCAGAACATAGAGATTCCATTTAGCTTCTGTGGCTAAGACCCCCCAATAGGCCTTATCCTCCAGGATAGTGTCCCAGCAAATGACTCAGAAGGACCTAATGCCATGGCACTGTGAAGTTCAGTGAGAGTAGACCTGATTAGGTCCTGGTTGTATAACTAATGTGAGTCTCATGAGATGAGCTGTCAAAAGAAAGAACAGGCTATGCATGTGTTTAATTAGGTACTTCTTTGGATTTTGTGAAAAATTGCAGATATTGCAGGGAAATTGTTTAAGTACCAATTTTGTCACTTTTATGAGAAAGTCAAACTGGAAAAGCCAGTTGTACCATCTTAGAGTTAAATAGTTACCACTAAGACAATTCACAACCGCTCTCTGAAAACTATACAGGCAAACACAGACACACACATCAAGAACTGTTACTCAGATCCACTGGTTTCTTGGTAATGGAATACTACTTACTTTTTCACCAGGAACTCCAATTGGACCTTGTGGACCTGGAAGTCCCTGTTAGGAAGAACCCAAAACATAAGACCTCAACAACAACAATTTACATATATTTTCTTGTTTAAATGTTGCACAGAGTTGTTTGAAAAGTCCCTTTTAAAAAAACCACTCAGAGATTGGGAGGTTTGTGCAAGTGTTTCTGAGAGCTACTTTGCTGGCTGTGAATATGTAACAGGATCCAGTTCAGAACCCTCCTACAGGTGTGGCTGTTCTCACAGGCATTCAGGGAGCTCTGAATGAGTCATTTTTCTCTCTGAAGGAAGAGCAGAGGGGAGGAGGACTCTTCAAACTTTCTGTAAAAGTTCTCTCCCACTTGCACTGGGAATATTTTCAGGATAATTTGTAAAAGGCTACTAGCAAAAATAAATTCAGTGGGGGGGGGAGTTCACACCAACACATTTCTTGCTCTACATCTCCAGGGCATCTTAAATGGGAAAAAAGTTGCAATTTATAGATTGTTAAACACGTACTTGTGGACCTGGAATCCCTTGTTGGCCAGGAGGTCCTGGTTCCCCTTGAGGGCCCTGTTGTGCAAGAAATATACAGAGACAATATTAGTTTTGGGCAAACATATATATGTTTACTGTCAATAAAACACCTTCCCCCCCCCACACACACACAGAAAGACTTTTTTCAGTTCAGCATATTTCCTGATCTGCAATTTGATGTGATGCTCCCGCCGCCCCCGGTTAAACTGACAAGTCACAATCACGTCCCTGAGAGGCCAATAATTCTCTGTCCTCACCAGTGCCTGGGGCAAACCACAGATGCTTCCACGTACAGGATAAAAGGAAGGCCAGTTTTTATGCTACTGAATGTCAGCATTGTGTACCATGGAAACATTTTACTTCAGAAACATCCCACAATTAGATTTAAGATACTATAGACACTGGTGTGAGGAGAAAGATTAATTTCATAATTTATTTTCAAAGATCCTTTGAAACTTGTATTGTGAATGTATTTTATGTGCTGAGTTGCAGATCGGAAGGTCTGTAGCTCAGCAGTTCGAGACCCAAGTGTGCCGCATGACAGAGTGAGCTCCTGTCTCTGGCCCCAGCTCCTACCAACCTAGCAGTTCGAAAGCAAGAAACTGCAAGTAGATAAGTAGGTACCGCTTTGGTGGGAAGGTAACAGTGTTCTGTGCGCCTCGGCGTTTAGTCATGCCAGCCACATGACCATGGAGAAGTCTTCAGACAGCGCTGGCTCTTCGGCTTGGAAACGGAGATGAGCACCACCCCCTAGAGTTGGATTCGACTAGCTTTCGAGCAAAGGAAACCTTTACCTTTTGTAACTATAATCCTAGGCTGCAGACAAATACTAGCTTTCATCCACTTTCTATGCACTTTCCAACTGGATTTTGCCAGTTCACACAGTAAAATCCAGTTGGAAAGTGCACTGAAAGTGGACTGAAAGTGGATTATTTAATGTGTGTGTGTGGCTGCAGCCCTAGTGTATTTATTGTATTTGTAATGTTTTAGAATGTTGTATGTTTATAAATTGATGTTACCCAGGAGAGCTGGTTATAAATTCAATGACATAGATGGATGGACGGATGGATGGATGGACGGAAAGACAGACAGACAGACAGACAGACGGATGGATAGATGGATGGATGGATGATAGACAGACAGAAAGACTGTTGCTCTCGATCCTACTGAAGTTTCAACCTACCAAGTTTCCTTTGGGACCCGATGGACCATCAACACCTGCAATTCCCTATGTGGAAGAATAGGACAAAAACACTTGTTATGGTCACATCTTTTGAAAAAAATCAAAATATAAGATAAGGCATTTCTTTATGAAATACATACAGGTTGTCCTGGGGGGCCAGGTGACCCTCTTGGGCCGAGTAATCCTCGTTGACCCTAATTAAAAAAAAAAAAGATTAACAGGGTCTTTAGTTTACAAAGCATGTGAGGAAAAGAGATGGTAGGTGGAAGACTGCCAGAAGTATAAGCAAAAATGTTCCATATGCCATGGTTCCTTTCTATATGCATATGTGGTCTTGCACAAGTGGAAATGTATTTTCCCCTTTCAAAAAAATGTTGTGAAAAAAAGCTTTACCATATCCATTCACAGTCCCAGCTCCCCCTTCAGAAAAATTTTGTGATAAGAAAGCTTTGCCATATCCATGTGCGTAGGACTAAAGCCCTCTTGTGGTTGTTCCAAGGAAGAGTTAACACAACGTCTGTACTCTACTAGAAGAGTCCCATGAATAGCAGTTCTTATATACCCTTGAAACAATGCACATGAGCTCATAAAAGTGGAAATATACTTCCACGTGCATTTGTTTACATCCCATATACGGGTTGATAGATACAAGCATGCATGAAGAGCTGACCACCTTCATTCTACAAGCTATCTAATGAGTTAGGAGCTTAGCTCACCATGCCTTCCTGTTTCCCATCCCAGAAAGAGAGATCATGGTGTGGAAAAAGAATTGCCACATTTCAAATAGGATAATACCTCAGACCCTTCATCTCATCCTCATTTATAAGGGAAACAGCATAACCAGCATAAGATAAAGCAAGATGGAACCAACATCCCTTGGGCGCTGGTTGTGGTTCATTTATTCCAAGTCACACACGTTCAACTTACTGAAGTTTATAGGTGGTAGAGGGCCTTTACAGACCCCCATAACCCTTCTTCACGACATCCTCTCTTTTATCTTCTATAATGTTGTAACTTGTATATGTAATACTTCTCTAATCTCTAGATGTTCAAAAGCTAAACGGAACATCATAGTATGTAGCTCCATCAATGGAGCAAATCCGTCGGGGGGGGGGGATCACACAGACTGACTTTGTTCTAAAATCAATCCCAGTTTAACCAAGGGCTTACTGCAGGTATATGGCAACACGCAGGCAGACGCATCTCCCGGATGTCCCGGGGATGCAACCGGCATCCAGCGTGTAGGAGGGGGTGCGATGGGTTCCGACCCCCCCCCAGAGTCTTGGTAAAAGGCTCCTAGCCAGGGGGATTTTGAGGGATGACTTCTTCACCGGCACGATGCCGGAGAATTGAGGCGCTCCTCCGCCCCGAAGGTCCTGCCGCAAAATGATTAGATTTTGGGAGGGGGGTGTTCAAAGGAAGGCAAATTTGATAGCTATTGTAAAATAACACACTGACCACTTAATACTGGCTTTGTGCCTTTGCAGATAGCATTTATAGCATAAGAAATCAGCTAGCAGCCTTCTAGAAGTATTGCATTAATTCAATTAATTGCATTGATTAAGGCATTTTTGCAAATTTTACCCATCAAAACTTTTTACAAAATGGGCTGGATCCTGCCATACATTTCTGCAGACAGAAGGAGGATACATTTTGCCAAGTCCCCCAAAGATACCCAGCTCTACCCTCATGCTGGTCCTGGGAGTGCCATGTTCCCAGGAGCAGGATGTGTGGGGTATTTTATGCTGCAATGGGAAAGGTAAGGCAGAAAAGTTGTGATCCACTGCTAGAAATCCTTCTATCAGAAGTAATTTTCTGATGGATCCAAACAATTGTCAATCAAGAACTGAGTAAGGAAGAGATAAATCACTATGAGTTGTACATATTGTATCTTTAGGATATTTACATCCACATTTTTTTTAAAAAAGTATTTGTGCATACAAAGGACAGGTCCACACAGGCCCCAAACACATAGAATCTACACAGTATGCAGATATCCTCTCACCATACTCCACATAGAACATGGGTAACTGGGCTCTCACGCACATGTAAGCACAAGGATGATCAGTGACCCATCCACTATTTTAAAAAGTGGAAAGATTATGCAATTGAGGTGTACAAGAGTACAAATGTGCACATATAGGCACCTGCATGCCCTGACCTGGATAGCCCAGGCTAGCCTGGTCTCATTAGATCTTGGAAGCTAAGCAGGGTCGGCCCTGGCAAGAATGGAACCGAATTAATCAATTCAAAGAATGTCAATATGTTGTAAAACATCACAAATTAGGAATGGCAGGATTATTTGGCCATAAATTATTTCCAACAATGCATCTGTAAATCACTCCCATGCTAAATGTTGAAAGCAATGGAAGGACTTAACACCTGGGCATGCTCATGAGTAAAAGACTGAAAACTCTAAAAGCTGAAAAAGAAGAATGCTCTGTTGATGCACTTCAGTGATTAAAAATACCGTCTAATAGTACTTTGTATGAGAAAAAGCATCACAAGTCAGATATGTTGGATGAATTTGTCCCCCAGGCATTATCTGATTCAGAAATTATCTCCAAGACTGAGAATAACTTTGCAGGGACAAATGATTCTACAATAGAGGCTTCCTCTGCATAAGTGTACAGCATGAAAAATCAAGACACACTATGAATAATGAATAAGGAAATGTTGCTTACAGCTTCACCTGGGAGGCCTCTTGGTCCAACCTCTCCATCTTCTCCCTGTTGATATAAAATTTAATCAAAGGGTTAACATGTGCATAAGTATTTCTTTTAGGTAATACTGAATGCGAAAAGACAAATGTATTAACAACATACTCTCATTCCATCTTCACCAGGAGCACCAGGAGATCCTTGCGGTCCACGATCTCCCTAGAGATAAGAGAAACCATGTCACATCCACACTTAAAACAGGAAGGACTGTGATGGTGCGTCAGCATACATAAAATGGGGAAGTGGGCTCTAGGCAAGCACTTGAATTTCCTGTGGACATGTCATAACATATCTGGACTCAAACAGATGCACATCTCAATGCTCTCTATAATTATATAGAATAATGGATTTAAAGTCTTTGGTCACAATTCAAAACAAGAGTAAGGCATACTCAAGCCCTCTGAAATCAGCGGGCTTAGGTATGCTGAACTCTGCTGGCTTGTGGGTCATGTTTAAAGTACTACATAATTATGCCTGCATATTCTTCCTGGCACTCGTTTGTCCCTATTGCTTCAAGGGTTCCCCCCCCCCCAGTGGGTTTTGTTCTCTCAATAGTCCCAGAGGGAGCAAAACAAATGTGGAAAACAGGACGGGGGGGACACCCAAAGCAACAGGGAAAAACAAGTGACAAAAATGACAGTGCGGAAGTGGCCACTGTTCATGGACTGCCAGAAGCATGAGTGGCACTGTCGGTCAGTCGGCATGGGTGCCAGTCAATCAGTCTGGCATCTTTCCTGGCATTAAAGCCATTCTTCTCTCATACTCATATACACTCATCATTTGGTAACTGTAACATAAAGAGATATCTTGCACATGCCAATCACATATATAAGCACCAAGTACATAAGGTTCTCACTCAACATCACCAAGTACAATGCTTTTAACATAATCCATCTGTCAGTTATCAGAAGACAAGTGGTGAGAAATTGTGGTATGTATGTCTGTGTTCCCTTAAGGGAACTGTCAGGCATGTTTTCTAGGTTGTACAAGGCTCCAGTGAAGACAGCTTTTGTTTCTCAATGGTTTGGGTACAGGGGCCTTTTTGCTTTAATTAAATAAATGTTCAGATTTTTCCCCACCCCAATATATTTCAAATTTGAAAGTGGAAATCTGCTTCTCAAAAAAAACAACCCTGATTCTTCAAAATTTCAGATTCAAAATTTGACAGTAATACCACATTCTACATTAATTTTTAGTTTTCATTGTTTATTTTGGGTATATGTACATGTGTATTTGTATAACAGAAGTTTCAGCCCCAGCGAGGAAGGTTTCAAAAATTAGCAACTGTATCTGAACTTAAATATACAAGAAACATGCCTCTATAAATTTATTGAGCCAGTCATTCACCTAGGATGGGCGGATGGCATCAAGAGGACCATAGAGAGAAGGGAGGAATGAAATGACCCATGAGTGGTAACAGCTAGTCCCGTCCTTCTCATTTGTGTTAAGATTGGCTAAGCAACTTCTATAAGAAATTCCATGCCATTTGATAAGATGGAAATGGGGAAGAATTACCTAGAACTTAAGAAATACCATAGCCTCTTTAATTAGTTGCTTTGTTTTCCTATGGTAAGCCACACCTGACACCATGCTATGATATAGCAGAAGTCATTCATTCAATTAGAATGACCAAGAAATTAGAAGACCATGAAATCTTACAAATGTAAATGGACCAACATTTGTCACCCAGAGGTTCCCTAAATGATCTTGTGTTTGAGGAATCATGGTGATTAGTTCGGCATGTGTGACCTCTCTCACTGTGGGATACAGGTTGGGAATGCCAAAAAGAAACTAATGGACAAAAACAGTCGAAGGAGGCAGTTGCAAATTGTTAAGCTATCATCACTCTAACAGAGAACTTGCTGGCTCCTGGGCATATGACAAAAGTGGTAAAATCTGGCCACTTACAGATCAGGTAGGGATCTCTACCTACTAGAAGGTATGCCAAAAAAGTTCTTGTACCTGTAAATTAACCCACCCACCCCCAAACAGTATAACAGAACAAGTACAAGTTGACTGCAAATATGGAATGTTGAGAATGACTAAGCACAAGTAGGATTGCCAGGTCCCACCCCCCCGCCACCAGGGACTTAGAGTTGCCAGATCCAGTTTGGGAAACTTCTGAAGATTTAGGGATGGAGATTGGAAAACAAGTGACCTCAGTGGAGTAAAATGCCATAGAGTCCACCCTCCAAAGCATCCATTTTCTCCAGGGGAACTGATCTCTGTAGTCTGGAGATGAAATTTAATTCTTGGGCGGATCTCCAGGTTCCACCTGGAGGCTGACATCCCTAGGCATATCAAAGGAGAAAAGCAAGGGAGAGAGCCCTCAAGAGCTCATAAATGCTTGAAGAGGGAGAAGTAGAGAACTGATAAATTGGAGGGTGGACAAACTGTCTCCCCTTCCTATGAGTCTCTGCAGGCCCTACCACTATATATCATGTCCAAGTGTCTGCCTCATGTTATCATAAAGAAAGTACTAAATATGGGCCATCCACAGACATGGCAAGGGTTTCAAACTACTTGTGAAACTCCCCAGATATGCAAAACAATATGACTTTGCAAATTAACCAAAAGGAAAATAATGAGAAATTGCATAATGAGGAGTAAATAGGCTCTAGAAAGGATGGAATGTTGAGAGCAGCTGTGTGTCAGTTAAAAGGAAAACAAAGGGTATGGGGGAGGACTTACAGAATCCTTGAAGGGTACTGGGAATTAGAGGAATTTCCAGATTCCTCCTTCCCTGCCACATTGTGATTCATTGCAGGCCCAAGATTGTGGGATAACAACTGAAATCTCTACATTTGAACCCAAATATATAACTCTATTTCTGAGATAATAGCACCCTTGTATTTTTTTTAAAAAAAAGTTTAAATCACAGCAGATTAAATAGGTAGTTCTACACAATTTCATTTTCTACTTTCAGTAATTCATAATCATCTGACCAGAGTGATCTTTACTCTGTATTTCTGTGAACATTATCTCCTTTCATAAGCTACACATTGATTCAAAGAAGAGTTCAGAAGGCTTCAAAGGATGAACAGTTCGATGTGTGTAGCTAAATATTAATATAACTCTTATCTCTAAAAGGTTGCTCATCCTGTTGCTCTATACATTTTACAGTACACCACAAATATGACCATCAAGATGATGAGTCATTTGTGTGTGGAGAGAAGACTTGTATATTGCAATAAACTGATGGATGCAATATACCCCCATCACAACCACACATAAAATTCCCTGTTGGCAATTACCAGTTTACCTAGTGTACCTAACACAACAGCATCTCCAAATACAGGTTTATAATTATTTTTATCAGAGTGAATCAAAACCATTCATTCTTATTGGATAAATTAAAAGAGATGCAGTGGGAAACAGAATTTGGGTGGTGACGGGCTAAATGTGCTTCTTAACGCTTGTAACCCCATAATCTCAGGTATCAATAATCGATTATATTCCTATATATTGTCCCAACCTAGCTTCTGCTATGCTGGTTTTGCTACTTTCAGACACAACTGAAAACAGTAGCTGAGAGAAATTAAACAGTCACCATTATCCATATGCCAATGTAGGCTTACTAATGCACATGATCTATGTGCCGAAAGATGGGTTCATAATACTCCTCTCTAGATTGTACAGTGAATAAACAGGTGACACTATCAGCAGTGCAAATTATGTGTAAGAAGGGGTGATCAATTCCACCAGCTCCTTTTCCATGTGACCCCAGTTAGTGGTTAACTGAAAGTACCAACTTGATCTTCAGAGGAGAGAGAATTGTGTATATAGCCAATGCACAATCACAATTAATAATGTGTATATGAACACCGGTTTGTATAACATGGGGGATTTCCATCCACAGAGTGACTTCCTTACCTCCCCCTAATACAGCCCAAAATGACCTCCAAAATATTGATCCTACAGAACAGAGGACTCCCAGGAAAAGCTGGGGAGGGGAGGTTAGATGTCTACAAGGGCACAGGGGAACCAGTGAATATTGCTCCACTTCCTCCTGTGGAAATACTCCATGTGATCTAAGCTATAGGAGTCTACTTTATACCAAGTCAACCCATTGGTCCATCTAGCACAGTAATGTCCACCTAGTCTGGCAACAGCTCTCCAGGGTCTCAGGTAGATAAAAGTCCCCCCAAAAAATGCTTATTAGTTTATTTCATTTATTAGGGACTGAGTCTTCTACATGCTAAGCATGTGCTCTATGACCGACCCATGCCCCTTTCCATGGCATGGATCCAAATAACGGTGCAGAAAACTCTGCTCACTAAACAAAGTGTTGTAGATGTCCCCTTCTTCCTGTAGCTCCCTATCCCTTGAGAAGGTGCTTTTCAGAAGACTTTTCAGAAGAAGTGGGATTTAGAACATGAGCTGCAGTGGGAAGACAGAGTGCAGAAATCCCCTCTCCTGCTCTTATGTGGCCTCTTGTTCTACTCATTCAATAGGGGGCTATTTCTACTTGCTCCCTTCACTCAGTCCCTCCCTCAGAGTTTACCACATTGTTCCAGAGAATTATTGGATTTTAGGAGCAGCTTTGGGGGGAGGGGGAAGATAGGGGACTATGTTCTTCCCCTTGAGGCTCACCTGGCACCTACGTTGCTTTCTTTTAGGCACTAGGCCTAAAACTTTCTGTTCATCAAGGCTCTTAACTAAGGGGTTTATTTTTAAAACACTATGGGTGCAATCACATGCAGAATTAGCCACATCACTGGCGCGAATGCCAGGTGAATTTTAAGGGCACAATCAGACGCCAACATCTGCCAAGCGGCCCACTCCTGTCGGCAACCTGTTTTGCTCCGCTGCAGAAGTAGAGTAAAAAGACACTGGGGAAAACCCAGTAGTAAACAGGTTTGCTACAGGCCAGGAATGGACTTTCCCCAGTGTGATCGCATCAGCGCATTTCCATGGCATCGGGATGGTCTGATCGAGCCATCCCGACTCCATGTCTTTGTTTTTTCCCCATTTCGGTATGTGCATCATTGCACACTGCATAGGGAGCACTCAGTGCGGAGATCTCTCATTGAAGCGCACCGGAAATACACAGCCAAAAAAATCCCCCGACTCACCCGCGGTTGCGTCTGATCACACGGTGGCGGGCCACCCCTGCAGCTCCCAGGGACTGTGTGATCACGCAGATGTGGGTCAAATTCCTGCAGAGCAAATAGCCTCGTTTCCCCCCCCCCATTATCTCGCGCTTGTGAACACTGCCTATTTTAGCCTAGGCCCTTACCTGGATTGTCTAGGCTAGCCCAATCTCATCAGATCATGGAAACTAAGTAGGGTCGGCCTTGGTTAGTAATTGTGAAGTCATAGCCCGGGGTGGGGGGGCTGGAAACTGTTGTTTTAAATGGTCCGTAGTCTGTACTTATTATCTAAACTATGTTTTTTATTCTAGTCTGGGGCTTTTTTTGAGCTGGTTTTTAATTGTTTTTTTCCCCAGTTTGTTTTCATTGTTTTGTTTTGTAAGCCACCTCAGGCAGGTTCCTGGAGAGGTAGCATATTTATTTCTAAATGAACAAACAGAGGACTGCAGAAAGAATAGGAAAGCTCCCTTCCACACGTGAACATCTCCTCAGTTAACTGGCTCCAATGGCATGAATATCTGGATATTAGTTCCCTTACTGAGAAAACATTATCACTGTTTAAAAGCTTTTACATCCTACTTCCCACATGTATAAGATTTAATTACAGAAGTTCAAACCTAAATCCAATGTGTGTGGGTTTTGAATTCATAGGGTAGTTCATTTGATTTTAACTGAAGTAGAACCTTTTTGTTTTCATAAAATCAGGCCTGTGGCAGCCTTTGGAAAGCTCTAGATTTTTTAAAAACACCCTCAACTGTATCTCTAGTATAAGGAATGTGATAGAAGCCTTTAGTGCAAAGTATTAAAATTAAAGATTGCTTATCTGCAAAAGAAAAATGCCAGCAGAATTCATAGCCTCAGGGAAGAGCTTAAAAAAAGGAAAGTTGCTTTCATTGCGCACCTACAAGTTGCACAAAACTGCTAACTTTGTCATGCTGTATTAGATGACTGACGGAGATTCTTTGGCTCCCAGACAATTTAGAAATGTTTATTCAGCCATAGAGAAGCATGTGAAGTATGTGCTAGCTGTACTTAATTGTAGAGTGCCCTCTGCTGGCCACCCAACATTCTTGATTTCATTTGCAAAAAATTGCATATTTTTGTACTTGAAAGTTCAGCGATAAAACATTGCGGCTCACAGCATGTTAAAACACTGGTGTCACAATGTCAGTCAGTGTCTACTACAAATCACATAAGTCAGCAGCAAATGTCCTGTGATATATTCACGCATAAGTCACAGAGTCATACTACAGTTGCATTGTAACATCCTGGAGGACTATATTATGAATACCATGGACACAGCAAATCTCAAAAACAGAAAACCTTCAGTGACAACAAATCTGAAAGTACGTGAGTACTTTTTGGCTCATCTCTAATTTAACCATCATCTCTTCTGTCATAACTTTTCTAGCATTTCATGTACTTGACACCTCATATTTTAAACCAGATGAGCAGGTAATTCTGCAGCTTGAACTGGGAAACTGGTGTAAAAGTTTAGGCACTGCAACAGAGTGGTAATATGGAACCTCTGGATTGGTTAGGCCTGATATAAATACTAGAAGCCAAGCATTCTGTTTCTGCCAAGGATATATTTTTGTTATTCCAGCTGAAACCACAACATGAGGGTCATTAGGAAGTAGATTAATGTGTGGGCCCTTACAGTCCTAGCATAAATTCAAAACAAATATGCTAACATTTGTCAGGAATGCAGGGTGCTGCAATAAAGGCTCTGCACCCAATCCAAGCTGCAAGCTGCCTGCAAACACTACAGCTACATGGAGGAGGGAGTGTTTCTTGCTGGTCTTCTCATGCAGCTCTTAATGATTTGATTGATCAGAATTACTCATGAGCAGTTGTACAAGAATGGCTTCCTCCTATTGCAAGAGCAAAACTGAAATGACAAACAGAAAGGAGATATTCTATGTCCTTTGGAACATCTGCCTCTGACCAAGACATTTAGAAGGGAAGTGGATATTGGGAACCATTTCACATTTTATTCAGCACTTGAGTTTGTGTGTGTGTGTGTATTCAACTTATATCCCACTCCATTCTTTAGCAAACAAGGCTCAGGGTGGCTTCCAAAAATTACATATACAGTAAAATTGATATTATAGTTTTAAAATCTAATATTACAAATTAAAACCTAAATCACTAAGTGCTATACTGGATGGCACCCAAAGATCTATCACAGGTGGACTAGAGGGGGGAAGGAAAAGGGGGGGAAAGAGGGAGCCCAGCTGAGCTCTCTGTCACTGTCCTCAACCACATGCCTGGTGGAACATCTCAGTCTTACTTGCCCTGTGGAACTGAGCCAAGTCTTGCAGGGCCCGTGTCTCATTAGACAGAGAGTTCCACCAGGTTGGGGCCAGAGACAAAATGGTCAAAAGCAGACCATAAAAGCTGGTAAGATAAAAAGATGTGTTTCGGATTGGTTCCTAAAAAAAAAAAAAAAAAGTAAAGTAGGTGCTAGGTGAGCCTCAAGGGGGCGGGTGTTCCAAAGGCATTTCGAAAGCTTCTGAGACTTACAGGACTTGAACAAGAGCTGGTGAAAGGAGACCACAGGATGTTTCCCTCACATGGTCATTAAAGGAAAGGCGACTTATACCAAAAGAATAAACCTGTTTATACTTCATATCGAAAATGTATAGGAACTGAAATCTACGACTCAAAGCTGCTACCTTTGCAATTACACCACAGAAGTTTTATTGACTCTCATAAAGATATTCTAGTGTGACTAGCAGGAAGAACAGCAACACCGTCATGACAAAAGCATGAAATATTCCCACTGCTTTTGGCCTACAGCTGCAGGTACAAATTTACTGCAGCCATATTTTGATATATTTTCAGATAAACATGAATCTTTTTCTTACCCTGTTACCTTTATCACCAGGTAAACCAGGAAGGCCATCAAAACCTCTGTCACCCTAGTGGAGGGGAAAGCGTGTTAGTATTTCACTGCTGTAGTTCGTAAAAGTTTTAATAAACTGCACATGCCTGCTGTAAATCTGCTGTGTTGGCATATTCATTTGCCCAGCTTCTACTGAAGTTCCAAGTTGCTTGGTATATACCAGAAAACAAAATTTGCTACACAACTGAAGGTCTATATCATGCTATAGACCTTGATATTGACACAGAGATAGCTCTGTTTGATAGCACAATAAATCTTACATATTTTTATTCTGTGCATTCTTCACACCTTTGAATGTTCAACCTGTTGCATGCTGAGTGCAGGCATCAGCAGACTGAAAGAACCACCATTTTTTATTTTACATTAGCTAATGAAAGTACAGTTCTTGAGAACTATCCATCCCCATCTGGTCAGAACACACAGGAAGCTGTAATACAGGCTGATGGGTCTTTGTTGGCTATAGAAAATGGGTGTGTGCATACTGCAGTGCACCACTAGTTTTCACAGGACAATCTTATATCACTGACATATTCATCCAGCTATCCCTTTACTCCACATGGTCTCAGCCTGAAACTTATTATTTCCCAGAACATATGAAAGCATGGATGAGCCTCCAGTTAGGAGTAATGGCTGGTAAATTCATGCTCAAGGACCATGCAGGAAGAGAAGGGAAAATGTTTCACTGAATCCTCCGTTCCTAACACCCATTGTGTGGATAGATCATGTCCATACAAATGAAAGCATATGAAATTTGATTCATACATTTCAAGAGTTTCAATGGATCCTAGCTTTCCATGGATGGAAGAGAGATGAGTAGGCTTCCCAAGTCCCCTCGGGGGGCGGGGAAACCCCCGCCCCAGAGGCCCGTTCCCCGGCGTCGCCAACTCCTCCCCGACGTGCGCGTCACCTGGAAGTGACGTGACCACGCCGGGCATGCTGGTGGAGGGGCCACGGCCATCCGAGGGAAAACTCTATGGTTCCCCCTTGTATGGCCATGGCCCCGCCTCCAGTGTGCCTGGCATCATCACGTCACTTCTGGGTGATGTGCATGCGGCGCGCGCGCGCACCAGACGCTGGCCAGGAGCCCCCCGCTCCCGGCAAAGATTGACTTGGCAACCCTAGAGATGAGGTACCTTTTTAACCCCAAAATGGCTATACCAAGAATTGTGGGACCTCTGTGGACAAAAGCCATGCACGACTGTGGTCTGGTACAGTGAAAGGGGAAACGGGGAAGATCAATCAGAAAAACCAGAAAGATCGAACGCATTATAAATGCATTTATATTTATATATGGCAGTTAAGGCTTAATTTGGTAAAACTAATGACAAATTCTTACCAAAAAGAATTGGTGAAAGCAATCTATCCTAGTTATCTCTATGAACTGATATGCACAGGAGCACCCAGGGCTATTGTCCAGTCCAGGTTACCAGTGGAAGCTGAACTCAATTAGTTCTCCGTGTAGTTCAATCTAGTTCTTGCATTTGTCAGGTTCTGCTGGATTGTGACTCTTTCTTTAGGAAGCAATGTCAAACATGTAAAAATGCAGCAATAGCCAGAACTGTGACATTCAGGAATGAGCCTTAATTCTTTTTACTATAATCAATTAGTTTCCATTAATTCTGAGCATAACCTGGTTCAGTTTCAGTGATGTTTGTATTCCCAGGAAGAAGATATTTTGTTTCTAACTAAGAGCACATCTGGAAAATATCAGATATAAAATAGTTATATTTGCTTACCTTAGAACCAGGTTCCCCCGGCATCCCCCTAGCTCCATCAGCACCTGGGCGACCCTAAGGAGGGGGAAAAAGCACTTTAATGCCAAATACACAGTGTCACAAGTATATTTACTGCTGTTCAATGTGTGTGCATATATATTTTTACCCCACCTGAGCTGTTTAGAAGTATGAAAGACCTACTCGTTTGCCCGGTTTTCCAGGAAGACCAGCTGGACCTTGTATACCTCGAGGGCCCTGAAAAACAAGCAAGATCTGCTGACTACAACTATTAAAGATAAATCAGCAGCATCACAAAGGTATGCTTTAATTATCCACCTCAAAGTGATTTGATGCTCAACCCCCCCTCCCCCCACATGAATTAGGAGGACACTGAGGGCTTTTTAAACCCACATTATCAGTAAATCAATTTCAAAAGTAAGTCTGCATAGCTTGAAAAATTCAGTGAAATCAGTTACGAAAGATGAAAAGTCAGGCTGTTTCATTGATCTACAGAGGACAATCTACACAGTGGGACAACAGGAATTCTATCTATTCTGGACTTTGTAACTCATATCCAGAGATGCTAAGGGAGTGGGTTTGGGGGGTATTAAATTCCTGGGGCTTGACTTGCACTGGGGGCCCAAGGATGCTGGGAAGATCTGGCTGGGTGGCAGTGGCAGGTTATTTGTTCCAATCTTGTGTGTGTTCTTCTGGGTGGGAAGGAACTGTTGCCTGGAGGCCCATGGTGGCTCTCAGCAGCTGTGCCCACAGGAAAGTATCTCACTATCAGATTCAACAAACTGGGAACCAGTAAAAGAATTATTGCGATGAAGGAATAATTTGGCAATTCCCCTCCTTATGATCTAGGGTTCTGTTAGTTCTGACACCAGCTAATTTGAGCACGAGGTGTTCAAGTAATAGCAAAAGCCCTTCTCTTTGCCAGCTTGCAGTGCCAGTGTTCAGGAAAGCATAAATGCATGCAGGAAAAAAACAAAGTAGCCAATTTTCAATTGTATTATCCTAATTTCTAGGACCAACCCCCCAAAAAACCTTAATTGAAACAAATGGCTGTTATTTACTAGGCAAACAAGGCTCTGAAACACCAGTCTCAAGCAACAATTTCCATAACTCTGGTATCCAGTGGTCCCTGAAGCCCTCTGAACTGAGCTTTTTTGCTCATTATAGGCCCCTGCCATACGGCAGGGAAACCACGAAGCAAAAGTGCGGCTAATAGACCCGCTCCAACGTTGAGACGCTGCGGCGGGATCCCACGGATCCCCTGGCCACAGCGCCTCTTCTCCCCGGCAAGAGCAGACGCCGGGGAGGACGAGCCCGATGGGAGGGGGAGGCTGCCGAACTGCGCATGCCCGAGCATGCGCAGTACGGCCGGGGGCTGGGATGCGGCGGCGCAAGGACGCGCCGCCGATCCCACGGCCGGCTTGGGGCGCTCCAGACGGCTGCAACCACCTAGATAGGTGGTTCGTTTTTGCAGCGGGGTAGCACCATTTGGGCCGGATCAGGGACGGAGACGGCACACTCCCCAGATGTTGAGGTGGGATCGCGTCCGTTTGCTCCGCCCCTGTTCCGTCCCACTCCCGTCCCAAATGGGCTCGTATGAACGGGGCCATAGCTACTATAAGATGGGGCTGGGCTGATATATTGTACTTTAATGCAGAGAACAATCCTAAGCAGGTCTACTCAGAATCCTACTCAGATGCATGCAATAGGGATTACTGCTAGGAGAGCATTTGCAGGATTGTACTGGCAGCAGCTTACCTGAGGACCTGGATCTCCACTATCCCCTTTGGCACCTGAGCCTCCAGGACCACCCTATACAACAAATGTAAAACGTTCTTTTAGCTTTGCTTATGTGATACTCTCAACAATACTTTTTCATTGCTATGTTAGATGTTTTAATATAGTTAAAGAATGTACTGATAATGACCTGATGGGATTATAGTCCTTTCTTAATATCCAAACCATAAGAACTGATCTCACAGCTAGTTTACATCATTTCTTTCCTGATGGGTCCCAGGACATTTAAAATCCTGGGAGAAAGGGAGTAGATTCTAACATAAGTCCTGTTATTCCCAAGACACTAAAGGAATATTACCTGGGTAGAACAACAGGAGACTAACATATTAGGGATGGAGTGGGGAGAAAATGGTGTATCGTCAAGGCACTGAGGACCTTATGGTCAGAAAATGGACAGTAAACAAACAAATACATCAAAGGCTTTTCACCAGAATTATGCCAGCAATGCTGCAGAAAGATAACACCAAAGTAACTGATTAAGATTGAGATTTCAGGAAGAAAAATACCACATGTGATTTTCTGGCCAACATGATAGTAATAGAATTGTTAGAGGTCCTGACTTATCATTTTGTAGTGCTGGAAATATGCCACCCAAATGATCATTTGCCACACTTGTCAGAATGGTCTTTTAGAAGGCCCACAACTGAAGGAGATGATTTTGCCTCTGCTTTAGTACTTAGTCTGGGATCACACTGATGGCCATTTGCATGCAGCCTGAGAGACTCATGGTCGTGTGAGTCTTCTCTATCACAAATTGTGTCTATTTTTTAATTTTTTATTTATTTACATAATTTCTCACTTGCACTAAGGGTGGATTACAACACAATGAGCCAATACAATTGACAGGATAGGACATTCAGTGAACAATGCAATAGGAATTAGGGTTGTAAAACCAACCAAAAGTTTAAAAACACAACTGAAGTAAAGCATAAGAATTAACATGACACCTTAAATGATGAAAAAAAATTACATAGTAGGATCCTAGTTTCAGCAAGCTATACAAAGTAGTCAGGGGTCATTTCATAGAAAAAGAGCTAGGGGAACTCATTAGCATAACTCATTAGCATATGCCACACCCCCTGACATCAGGGGGCCGGCGGTGG